AGCTTCAGGGGCGTGGCCTCATTCAGAGCCCTCCTATTCGCCATCGGCAAAGGACTCCTGGGTTCTCTCCCCAGCTCAGAGAGTGGGGGCTGGTGGTTAGAGCAGGGGGGCTGGGAGCCAGGACTCCTGGGTTCTCTCCCCGGCTCTGGGAGGAGAGTGGGGGCTGGTGGGTTAGAGCAGGGGGGGCTGGGAGCCAGGACTGCTGGGTTATAGTCTATTCAGGGGGGCAGGGAAGTTTCCCAGCTTTTGCTAACACCCTGGGACCTGAGTGCATTCATCCTTCCTATGCAAATAGGAATGAAGCCAAGCATTTGGGTGGGGGAGATAGAAATCAGGGGGTGACTTTGAGTTCTGGAGGTCTGAGGCAAGAAGGGGGAGCTGGATATTTGCAGAAGAATTCAGGGGGTCCCTGGAAAATTCAGGGTGAGCTCAGAGACTTGGGGGTGCCCTCCACAGAGGGGGTAAAGGTTGGGGGAGAGATTTGGGGTGCAGAGACTTGTGGGTGACCTCCCCACGGGAGGAAGGTTTCAGGGGCAGAGATTTTGTGGACTTCCCAAGAGAGGGACTTTAGGGGGGATTTTGCAGGAGGGGGGAAAGATTTGGGGGGGACCTCAGGGAACCCACAGAGATCTGAAACAGGGGGACCCCCACCCATTCGCCATTGTGGGGAGGCTAACGGTCCCGGCCAGCTGGCAGACGGATACAGCTGGCAAGGCCCCGGGCACCCGGCAGTTTCCTCCCCACACGCCCTCTTCCCCACGTCCCCTTACGCAAGACCCAGACGCCAGCGCCCGCCACTAGCCGGCCACAGCCTGGGGCTCGCCGGCCACCCCCTGGAACCTGCAAAGGGGCCCCCACCAGATCCCAGCTGCACCCCCTAGGCCAACCCAGGCCTCACTGGGCTCCGGAGAGGTTGGGGGAGGAGTGAGCAGGGGGATTTTCAGGGGGTGGCTTTGAGAACAGGCCGGGAGAGATTTTGGAGGTGTCCAGGCAGGAATTTGGGGGAGCAGCTAGGGAGGGGGAGGAGAGGCTCTGGGAATGGGATGTGTGGGGGTGTCAGGGAGGGATTGGAAGGGGATTTGGGGGCACAGCTAGGGAGGGGGAGGGGGCTCTGGGTGTGATTTTTGGGGGTGTCAAGGAGGGATTTGTGGGCGAGCTAGGGAGGGGGTGGGGGCTCTGGAAGGGGGATTTGGGGGTATCTGGGCAGGAATTTGGGGGAGCAGCTACCAAGGGGGGGCTCCGGGAGTGGGCTTGGGGGGCATCAGGTGGGGGGAAAAGCCAGGGGGGAGGTGACGCTCCCCAGCCCTCATGGCCGAGGCCCCGGGGCGCCAGGCTCTGGGGGGGCTGTGGCTGGGGGGGGGCGCGGCCCTGGGGGTGCTGGCATGTGTCATCGCCCTTATGGCCCAGCAGGCCCACCTGGGAGCCCTGCGGGGGGAACTGACCCAGCTCCGGGGGGAGCTGGCGGCCGCCAGGAGGGGAGAGACCAGGCCCCCTGGAGAGACGCAGGTGAGACCCCCCAAAACTGATCCACATGAGGGGCTGGTGGTTAGAGCAGAGGAGGCTGGGAGCCAGGACTCCTGGGTTCTCTCCCCAGCTCTGGGAGGGGAGGTGGGGCTGGTGGGTTAGAGCAGGGGGGGCTGGGAGCCAGGACTCCTGGGTTCTCTCCCCAGCTCTGGCAGGGGAGTGGGGGCTGGTGGATCAGAGCAGAGGGGGCTGGGAGCCAGGACTCCTGGGTTCTCTAACCGGCTCTGGGAGGGGAAGGAGGTGCAGGGGGCAGGTGAAACTTACCGGGGAAGATCGGAGGTGCTGCTTTGCTCTCGCTTCCCCCTTGTCCTCCACGGGGCAGCAGCCGGGAGGGAGGAGACCCCTGAAGGGTTAAAGATTAAGCTGCCCCCCCGCATCAGGGCTGGGGGGAGCCGCGAACACAAACCTGGCACCGACCTTCAGCGTTCGGCGAGGAGGCGGAAAGAGCCCGCCTCCCTGGGAAAACCCCACATGGCAGAAAGGAATGTGCAGAGCGACCCAATTACTGCCGGCGCTGGGAGGGGAGTGGGGCCTAGTGGTTAGAGCAGGGGGGGGGGAGCTGGGAGCCAGGACTCCTGGGTTCTCTCCCCGGTGCTGGGAGGGGAGTGGGGGCTGGTGGATTAGAGCAGGGGGCCTGGGAGCCAGGACTCCTGGGTTCTCTCATCAGCTCTGGGAGGGGAGTGGGGGCTAGTGGTTAGAGCCAGGGTGGGGCAGGGAGCTGGGAGCCAGAACTCCTGGGTTCTCTCCCCAGCTCCGGGAGGGGAGTGGGGGTTGGCGCCAGGGGATCTCTTCCAGGGTTAACCCTCTCCTGTCTGCTCTTGGTTCAGGAGCCTGGGGAGCTGGAGCCCCCCCTGGCTGCGGGGGTCCAGGCCCCCATGGTTTGGCGAAGGGGGAAAAGGGGCTCTGAGGGGAAGTCAAGGCAGCAGGACCAGCGGCAGCAACACAGTGAGTGGCTGGGGATGAAGTGACAAGTGGCTGCAGCTGATAATGGGTGTCCCACCCTTGGGTGGGGGTGGGGAACGGGGCCTGTCCCCTCTAGGGGGCGCAGGCTCCCATCCGGCCCCAGGGCGGGGGCTGGCTGTGGGTGGTGTGTGTGGTGGGGGAATGGGATATTGAGAAATGAAAGTAGAAAGTGACAAACTCAGCAGGGGAAAGGCCAGCTGCGGATATCAGCTGCCTCCCCGGGTGAATCCGGAGTCACTCCTGATTGCAATGCGGTGAGGCCTAGATTCCATTTCCAATTTTTGCCTCCCAGGTTGTCACACAGTTTGGGGGAGTCCGGGCCCTGCACCCCTCTTCCTGGGATTCACCGTGACTCTCAGCCAGCCAGTAAACAGAGGTTTATTGGACAGTAGGAACACAGTCTGAAACAGAGCTTGTAGGTACACCAGAACCCCTCAGTCAAGTCCTTCTGGGGGGTTCAGGGAGCTTAGACCCCAGCTTGGGGTTCCCTGCGTTGCACCACCCAGCCCCAAACTGAAAACAAAAACTCCTCCAGAAGCTCTCTCCCCCCTCCCCCAGCTCCTCCTCTCCTTTGTCCAGTCTCCCGGGCAGAAGGTGTCACTTCTCCCACCCCTCCTCCTGGCTCAGGTTACAGCTCAGGGATCTTCCTTCAAGGGAAGCCCCCCACCCCCAATGTAACCCCCCTGCAACATTCCCAGGTCAGATCTGCTCTGCTCCCTGCTCCGTCACATCTCTCCCCCCTTCGAGACTGAACTGAGCGGGGTCACTCTGACCAGGGACCTGGGGAAGTTCAGGGCCCCGTCTCCGGGACAACGCGTCCGCTGTCACGTTGGCACTTCCCTTCCCATGGACCACGTCCATGTCCTCATCCTGCAGGAGCCGGCTCCACCTCAGGAGCTTGGCGTTGGCTCCTTTCATCTGGTGCAGCCAGGTCAGGGGAGAGTGGTCGGTGTGCACGGTGAAGTGTCACCCAAAGAGATATGGCTCTAGTTTCTTGAGGGCCCACACCATGGCCAGGCATTCCTTCTCGATGGCCGCGTAGGAGCCTGTCTGCAGGGTCAACCCTGTGCATCTCGCAGGTATTCTCAAAGGCCGTCAGGAAGGTATCCATGTCCTCCCCCTCCTTTCGCTGGGCCAGGAAGCACTTATCAAAGCTCTTTGCAGTCTTGGGTCCCCCCTCGCTCGCCGCAGCCGGGGCCCCACTGGTCCTCAGCCTGGCCAGTTCCAGCTCATGCTGACGCTGTTTCTCCTTCTACGCCAGCCTACGCTGACTCTGTTTTTCCTTCTCTTCCCGCTGCTTTTCCCGTTCTTCCCGCTCCTCCTTCAGTTCTTGCTTCCTTAACTCAAGCTCTTCCCGTCTCATCTCCCATTCATATTCCAGCCGCATCCGCTCCCGGGACGGGGAGCTCCGCCGGGACGATCCCCTGCTGGCCGCTAGGGTCAGGGTGCCCTCGGTATTCGCTGGGCTTCCCCCAACCCCTCCCCTAGGTATAGGTAGGCAGGGTCTCGGGATGTCCTCGGCAGCAGTCTGACCCCTCCCCGCCATGTCAGGCCCCGGGGCCCACGCTGCATCCGCCGGGCGGCTTCCCTCAGGGACAGGGCTCGGTTCATCCAAGCGATCCCTCTCCTCCAGCTGGGCAATGAGCTGTTCTTTGGTGGACCTCCCACTGCGCAGCCCCCTCTGCCTGCACAGCTCCACCAGGTCGCTCTTAAGGCGTTTAGCATCCATCCTCCTGCTGGCCACTCGCCGGCCTGTGCTCTCCGCTTTCCACCGTTCCAGGGGGACCCCTAGTGTGCCAGCCCTTCTTCAGGTCACCCCCTCTCTGCCAGGGTCGAGGTGCAGACTCCTCCGCCCCGGGACCGCTCGCTGCGATCCCCCGGGGGACCCTGTTACTGCAACAGTCCTCCTCTCTGGTCACACACTCCCAGGGGTTAATCGCCCCCTGAAACCGTCTCTCTCTGACGCTTCAGCCCACCTGGTCCCCATCGATCCCCCTTCGTTTTACTGCTCCCCAGTCACTTACTGCAGGAAGCGCCGTCCACGGGGTGCAGTAGATCCCACCCTACCACCAGTTGTCACGGAGTGTGGGGGGACACAAAGCCCTGCACCCCCGGCTTCCTGCGATTCATCATGACTCTCAGCCAGCCAGTAAAGTGAAAGGTTTATTGGACAGTAGGAACACAGTCTGAAACAGAGATTGTAGGTACAACCAGGGCCCCTCAGTCAAGTCCTTCTGGGGGGTTCAGGGAGCTTACACCCCAGCCTCAGGGGTCCCTGCGTTCCACCACCCAGCACCATACTGAAACTAAAAACTCCTCCAGCAGCTCTCTTCCCCCTCCCCTCTGCTCCTCCTCTCCTTTGTCCAGTCTCCCGGGCCGAAGGTGTCACTTCTCCCACCCCCCCTCCAGTTTCAGGTTACAGCTCAGGTAGCTTCCTTCAAGGGAAGCCCCCCACCCCCAATGTAACCCCCCTGCAACATTCCCAGTCAAATCCACCCGCTCCCTGCTCCGTCACACAGGTCAGTTTCTGGTAATAGCTGTTGCCCCGGCGCCCCCCGCAGTGAATCACCCCGTTGAGCTGATGTCAGGAGTGGGATCGATCGCTGATTATCTCCATTAACCCACCTGTCTTTTGCGGTGCGGGGGGAGATGCTCCGGGGTTGACCCCTGGGGTGGAGACCTCGGGCTCTGACCCTGGTGCAGGCAGCAGTTCTGGGGAGATCACACAAGCCCTTAAGTTCACACCGCTTGGTGGCAACGGTGGGATCGCAGTGCCGCTTGATAGGTCTGTTAAAGTTCTCAGTGGCTCCGAGCCCACTGGGAGATCCAGGCTCTGGCAGCCATGGGGCAAAGGGGCGCAGGGGTGAGGCGAGGGAAACTGGCGAGTCACTGTCTCTGTCTTTCCACCTGACTCCTAGGGAAACGCTCGGTTCTGCACCTGGCCCCCAGCCATCGCTCCACCAACAGTAAGTCGTCGTCCCCACCCCCCACCCCAGCATCCCCCTTGCCTATGTGACCCACACTGACCATCAGGACTCCTGGGGTCTCTCCCCTGTTCTGGGAGGGGAGTGGGGGCTGGTGGGTTAGAGCAGGGGGGCTGGGAGCCAGGGACTCCTGTGTTCTCTCCCCGGCTCTGGGAGGGGAGTGGGGGCTGGTGGTCAGAGCAGGGGGGGCT